GGTCGGCCAATGGAGGCAGCTTGCTTTACCAGCGCCTTTTGACAGTGGGTTTTGCTATCCATATTGCCACTGTCTCTGCTCTGGCTAATACCCGTTTGCGCAGGCCTTTGGAGTAGGGTGTCGGTGTGTGGCGTATGACCCGAAAGACTTCTTTTGCGTCCACATGGCGGTTCGTATCAATTAGGTGGGCGAGGATTGAGCTTGAGATCGATCTATTCTCTCTTTTGCTGAGCTATGCTGGTATGTGCTCGCGTATTCTCTTCTCCAGACGTCGCGTTGTTCGGCTAATATATCCCGCTCTATGGGAGCAGGTGAAAGAATAGATGCACATCGATGCGGCCTGTAACGGTAGTCTCTCTTTACCTCGCATTCGTAAAAGGGGAGAGTTAATGAAGAATACGCGTAAGTTTGCCGCCGGGAAGGCACTCGTGACTACTGTCCTCAGGCGTCGTCTTACCTGTTCACTTGCTGCGTCTTATGAACAGATCTTTCTTTTCCGCCGTTGCAACTGCGGCCTTTGTAACACGCGCCTTAATGTTCCGAAAGATGAACCTTTCTGGGTGACCGTTTCCATGGAGTGTGTTTTGTAGCTGCTGCAGTTCTACTTCCACTATTTCAGGAGTGGAGTTTTAGGTGAGCTTAGTTTTGTTTGGTAAAATTCCAAAGTTCAGGGTACTCTCCTCTCGTAGAAAAGCACGCATGGAGGTGCGAATTTAATTTAGGACAACTGCTAACATAGACAATTGCCCGAATGTAAGGTTATGCTGTTTTTTTGCTAAAATCTGTAAAATTCGCCGGAAAAAATACTTCCCAACATTATATATGTAAACCAGGACAGATTCCAAAGCGAAGTTGGCTGAGTTCGTAAAATGTCCCACACAATTGCTGTTCCGTCATCAGGATTCATGAGTTAGGCCAGTGCTGTACCTCTCGCTATCATAAGTCTGCCCGGAGGAGCTCTTCGACAGGCAAGACTGTAGATACGTTGGACGAGCATCGGTAGCCAGTCGGGACAAGCCAGACAGTACTGAGGATGCGCATCCCTAACAAATACCACACATGGGGGTACGTCTTGTGTCGCGCCAGTCGCCTGCCTCCGATCTGCTTGACACCGACCTGGTGCGGATGGGTGGAGGGAGGGAGAGAGACAGTGAGGTGTGAGATAGATGCCGCGTAGGGATGCTATCATCATTGTTGTAAATGTAGCCAAAGCTGAGATATCGTTGTATAACTACGCCTTGTGCGGGTTCCCGTGGAAGAACACGACAAGAAGAGGGCAAAAGTAGACGTCTTTTTCCATATCTAGTACAGAGTACTTTCAGCAAGCAAAGTATACAAGATTGGACCAATCAAATTGTGTCCTTGAGGGATAACATTCTGACTGACTGTCGGGCCGGACAGTGATAGCGCAGAATACTTATCATGGCCGGCGGTTTGATCGATCTCATCACTTGCGCGGCTTGTACCGATCGATAGTGCACCGTTTGATGAGTAATAAGGACAGCGTGATAATTGGTGGTCAGGTCTGCCCCTACCAATCATAAACTAAGTCACACTGCTGTGACGCATACGGTGGGCATAGATGCAAACAATGGTCGAACTCTCGTTCTTACTGCAAGATCGTCTGGCTCTTTAGCGTTTTTTAGCCTTGCGTCACTCTTTGCATACTGGCTTGCTGCTGATCGCTATTGCTATGCAGCCACCGGAAGCCCCAAGATAAACCAGAGCTCCGGTCTTCGCCATACATTCAGAGAAAGTGCTGCTGCCCCCGTCTGTCGGGCTTTGCGCTATCATTGCGAGATCGCGCGCCTCCTTTGTGAAACAAGATTGCACGCGGCCGGAATGCCTAGCGACTTTCCACAATCTGGTAATCACCCCCCCCCTCCGTCTTTCGATAGGTCCGAAGCCTACGAACACTTTGTCGTTGGTTCTTGCAATCGGTTTCTCTCTCCCGTCTTTATTTCTCTTGTGTTTAATAAGAACATAACTTTAAAATATGAATGTTTTTTGTGTGATTTCTTGTCAGCGACAACAACGTAGACGAATGCGACTTGGAGTTGTACTTTGTGGGCTCCTACCAGAAGTTCGGCTCGATGGAGGAGGAAGAACTGAAGCCTGGTGGCCATGACATCAAGGTGACGGAGGAAAACAAAGTGGAATACACTAAGTTAGTCTCATTTTCTTTTTTTGCGTTCATTTTTGCTTTCCTGTTATTCCTTAACGTCGTTTCTTCTGCACGTTTAATCGTTTTTGAGCCTCTTTTTTGCGTTTCTTGCCTTTCTACCACAAACGGCAAATCACACCTAGCCACTAGTTTGAAATTCGATATTTCCCTCTCGCACAATGCATATAATTCACCGTCAACGTCATATAAGTAAGCCTATTTGGACGCGTTCGTTTTTCGAAGGCCTGATTGATTGCGCATATCTGGAGTTTAATATTCTCTAGCGGAGTGCATCGAAGTTGCCATCCATTAACGAACCGTACCGGTAATTGCAATCAGCCATCCATCCCATACCTTTATAAAAACGCAACCTTTATTATTTGTATCCTAGAGTTAACCGCCTTATACGGCGGTTCTAAAAAATCCCCGGCAAGAATGATTATAAAGGCTGCAAAAATAATGTCAACTTACAGTTAAAAACTATTTTCAAATGTTCGGTAGCCTGACTTTAAATTTTTTGGTTAAATTCCACCAATAGAAGGACTAATTTCAATTTTCATTGAATTCCGCCTACATAAGGTCAAATTTCTCTCGATTAGCTTTCGTATTCTAGGCAATAGAAGTTTATGTTGATTGAATTTAATTGTATTTAGCATATTTAAACAAACATGATATCATTTAATTTGATATTTTTTGATCAATTCTGCCACAATTACATATTAATGTACACTCACTAGCCAAGAATTAAATGTTTGATCACAGAATATTTTAAGCAGTTGGGCGGGGGATTAGATATCTAGAGGGGCCCTACAAATAATTTTTGCCAAATCCCCATAATAGCTTGATTGCACGAACATGGCTTTCTCTCCCCTGACAGTCACATCTGGCTCTAAGGTTACCCCGTTTGAAAGGAAGGGGCCGCATATTCTCAACGTAAATTACCTGTCTCGTTTGTACTACCGACTACATTCTCTGTAGACTTGCGTCAACTACGAGCAAACGATATGCTATGCCAAGGTTTGTCGAGGGAACGGTGCATCCACTTCGGACTTTTGTAGTATTTCTCCGCAAACCTGTTAAAAAATCCCCGTTCAGACAGACTTACCATCTGGCGACCCTGGCGGTGAGAAACATCTCTAGCATCACCTTTCCCTCTCACAACCAGGCTTTGTGCTAGCGGCCTTATTTCATGCCTGCGTTGGCAAACAGCCATTATTAGACACAAAGCTGGTTCGATACAGCCGCTTCGGTGAGAAAAATGGGTGATAAG